TGGAATTGTCTCAGATCCTTGCATTGCTGAGAAGAGTTAAGTCTATCAAAGTCGGTCATCACACAATGTTGCTGTTACTTATACAGTGTTCTCCTGCTTCTGCTCACTTAATTCAGCGTCAGTTCATGTAAGTCTTTCCAGGTTTTCTGAAGTTCACCTGTTCATCATTTCTTTCTTTTTTTAATATTAATTAATTTTTAGTTTTCAACATTCACTTCCATAAGATTTTGAGTTTCAAATTTTCTCCTCCCCCACCCCAAGACATCATGCAATCTAATATAGGCTCTATATATACATTCATATTAAATATATTTTCACATTAGTCACGTTGTAAAGAAGAATTAGAACCAATGGAAGGAACCATGGAAAAGAAGAATCAAAAGAGAGAGAAAGAGAGAGAGAGAGAGAGAGAGAGAGAGAGAGAGAGAGAGAGCGAGAGAGAGCACAAATAGTATGCTTCAATCTGCATTCAGGCTCCATAGTTCTTTTTCTGGATGTGGATAGCATTTTCCATCATGAGTCTTTTGAAGTTGTCTTAGATCCTCGCGTTGCTGTGAAGAGCTAAGTCTATCAGAGTTAGTCACTGCTCAATGTTGCTGTTACTGTGTACGATGTTCTCCTGCTTCTGCTCCCTTTACTCAGCATCAGTTCATGTAAGTCTTTCCAGGTTTTCTAAAGTCTGCCTGCTTATCATTTCTTATGGCACAATAGTATTCCATTACATTCATATACCACAACTTGTTCAGCCACGTCCCAATTGATGGGTACTTCCTCAATTTCCAATCCTTGGCCACCACAAAAAGAGTTGCTATAAATATTTTTGTACATGCGGGTCCTTTCCCCATTTTTATGGGGATATAGACCTAGAAGTGGTATTGCCGGGTCAAAGGGTATGCACAGTTTCATAGCCCTTTGGCCATAGTTTCAAATTGCTCTCCAGAATGGCTGGATCAGTTCACAACTCCACCAACAATGCATTAGAAAGGAGAAAATTCTTAAGGACATAGAAAGTAGGTTTTAAAAACTACTGTCTTGGAACCATCTTATGATTCCTAGGTGAACTGTGTCTTTTACAGTGGAAAACTTCTCTAAGTCTTTCACTTCCCCAAATGGCCCAAGTCTATTGCCTTTTTAATCACTGCTGTAATTTTCCTTTACATGATGGGGAAATGGCTATTCAGACACACCTAGATTAACAGGAAACAAATTCTCCTATGAAATGGCAGAGAACAATGAGTCTTGTTGGTTGGTCCCAGATTTATGTCATCATTTACAATAATGAGACTTTCTTGACTGCCCAAGACTGGTAACAAGAGGGCAGTTCCATGAAACTTGACAAGTAGGCAAACTGATCTAGCTGAATCAAACATTGGAAGTTTATGGATTATTCAGCTCATGTGAACTAAATGTGATCAACAGATCACAGAATTTCAGAGAGGATCTCAGAGGTGATTTAATTTACCCCTTACTTGCAAGGGATCTCTCTTGGTGCTCTTAAAATACAAGGGCAACAGAAGAGGAAACCTTTAACTCTACTACTGCCACTACACTTGCTTCATGCCATTTCTTCTTCATTTAGTGTTTTTCCAACCACTAAACTCATAACAAGTACCCTTAGAGCACATCTTTACTGAAGAATCCCATAATTATAAGAAGCTATAATCTCGACAAATGCTTTCTTAAATAAGCCTTAAGTTTATGTAATTTAGCTTTACAGTTGTGCATGCTGTAGACGATGTTGTGCTGCGTCACAGAGCTGGTCACAGAAGATTACTGCTATAATTCTAGTAACCTCCATTTTTGATAGACAACAAAGCAAAATTGTACTGAGAGATCCTACTGTACTTCATGATGTTACACTTCTGGAAAACTTTAATATTTGTTTATTTTCTATTGTATGTGCTAGGGTATCTCGCCCAAGCAGACATTAGTCTTATCATGACAATGACACAAGGTTTACAATTTATATTTACATAGGAAAGTAAGGCGCTTCATAATGCAGTGTGATCATGCCCCACCTAACACCATTCATGACTAGCTCCACAAAAACACCCCAACTTTAGCTGAAGCACTGTTGTAGAGCAAACAATTACTTTGCAACTATGCTATAAATGAAGATACATTTCTTAACTAACATTTGGTCTATAAAAATCCTTAAAAACGGTCTTTACAGAGACCTGAGACCATACATAATAGGATGGAGTTGGGGTGGGTATGGGGATGTAAATAACCTGGATGAACTAGCAGACCTGATATACAAAAGTTGTTGAGTTGACCTGACATACAAAATCATGAGAAGGAATGGCAACAGAATGGGGGAATGGCTGTGTGTGTGTGTGTGTGTGTAGGACTGTGTTTGTGAGTGGCTTCAAAATAGTAAGAATCTGAAGATATTTGGGGGGATGGGAAGAAGGGTTAAATCTTCCCTTGTAGGAAGCCACTAACCTCCATTTAAACATTTAGCTAATGATAATACTTTTGCAGATGAGTTTGGTTGCAGTTTCTCAAAAATCTTTTTTATTTATTTATTTTGTGAGACAATTGGGGCTAAGTGACTTGCTTAGGGTCACACAGCTAGTAAGTGTTATGTGTCTGAAGTCAAATTTGAACTCAGGTCCTCCTCACTTCAGAGCCAGTGCACTATTCACTGCGTCACACACCTGTCCCCTCTCAAAAATATTTTTAAAAAATTATTTCATTCCTAGTAGGGAAGGCACAATACATCTCCCTAGATGAATTTAACCGTGGAAAACTACTGAATCCTAGTGTAGAAAGGGAGACATAACTGATTAGAGGTGGAGCCTGAGAGTTCAGGAGCCCAATTCCTCTGCCCCAGGCTTCAAGAAAGTGAAAGGGTAATCAAAAGTACAATAACTTTGAACATATAGAAGCCCAATAAAGCTCTTTGGAAAGTTTCCCCCTCTTGTGTTCTTTTTTATATTTCAGTAACAGCTACATAGAGAAAATAACTTGTTATTTGTTATGAATAAGATAGCTACTGAGGACCTTACATAAATGAACTGCCTGTATAATTTCAATTCAATTAAAAAAAATTATTTGAAGGGGCAGCTAGGTGGCACAGTGGACAGAGTACTGGCCCTAGAGTCAGGAGGATCTGAGTTCAAATACGGCCTCAGACACATAATACTTCCTAGCTGTGTGACTCTGGGGAAGTCACTTAACCCAAATTGCCTCACTCAAAAACCAAATTTGTTTTAGCTTTTTTTTTTTTTATATTATAAGTCACAAGCTAAATGCTGAATGTAAAAAGATAAAAATGAAACAATTTCTGCCTTCAAGGAGCTTATAATCTACTTCACATATTTCTGTGATATTTAACATGAAGGTGAATAGGAGGAAGCCTGGCTCAGATGGTGTTAGCTAAGAAAACTTGACTTGGGAATGAAGCTTGTTTATAATGCATTAATAACATTATTATTTCTTCGCCTGATAAATTTAAAGTAGCACATACCTTTATTTTTATTTTTTTGGGCAATTGGGGTTATGTGACTTGCCTAGGGTCACAGCTAGTAAGTGCTATGTATCTGAGGCCAGATTTGAACTCAGGTCCTCCTGACTTCAGGGCCAGTGCTCTATTCACTGCACCACCTAGCTGCCCCAGCATACACCTTTATTAATCTTTATTTCATGATATGTTATAGAAGGAAAAGCACTAGCTCTGGAGCAGTCCAAGGACCCTGGTTCAAATCCCACTTTTGCTAATCTTCTACCTGTATGACATCCACAAGTCATTTCACACACCTGGGCCTCAGTCTTTTCATCTCTAAAATGACAGGGGTGGACTAAGATGTCTCTGAAGTCCTTTCAGCTCTAGATCTGAGATCATTCTAAAAGTGACTAATGCCTGATGCTATTGGATCAGATTCTATCTACAGAGTTCTATGAAGACAAATCATTCATTGCCATGCATGAAAAATAATGTGAGTCATTATGTGAATTCAAATTCTGGGCTGCAGAAGCAAAATTTTAGACAAAGTCCCTATCTGGTCAAACCTGCTACTTCCAGAATGCCATTCCATGTGCATCCTTTTCAAAACCTTATGACTCTTCAAGCACAGCAACAATTGTTTAAATCATGGCTATAAATATCCATGAGAAACTTGAAAACAATAGCAGATCACTTGGTGCCAGGGTAGTTTTCCAATTAAAACCCAAGACCATCTACAGAAAACTTTTAGTCATTTAGAAATGATAAGGAAAGTACTTAACTTTACTGAATTTTCAGAAAATCTCAGAACAATTTTTTTTAAAACAGAGAAAGGCAGAATATCACAGCTAGATTTTCAATATCATGGTTTGCAGGATAATAGATTTTTAAAACCTGCATCAAATGAAGCCTTGAAATGCAGCCTGGTGCACTGAGAAAGATGCAATATTGGAGTAGCAGAAAGAATACTTTATTGGCAGACAGAAGCTAGAATTCAATGCCTGACTTTCTGCATGACTCTGGACACTTGATTGTTTTACAAAATGTAGAACTGACCAGATGGTTTGTTCCAAAAGTCTGTTGAACTGAATTGGATTTTAAAATTCCTATAATGTAGAGACATGTGACTTCATCTACAAAAAGGGGAAACTCAGAAAGTCCTGAGGGGCGCCCTAAACCAGGGACCCTCTTGCAAGGGGGGAAGGAAGGTAAAGATGCTTCTTATTTAGAACTAAAAGGGCTCTTAAAAGTCATCTAGGCCACCCCCCCCCTTCCTTATACAGATAAGGAAACTGAGGCCCAGAGATGAGCTGTACAAAATCACACGCAGTAAGTAAACATCAATGTCCACATTCGAACCCTGCTCCCGATTGCAAAACCAGAGCTCTATTTACCACACAGGAGACCTATCCAGGTTCACAAAAGAGGTGAGTGTGGAAGAAAATTGGAAAAGGGAAAGGCCATAGAGGGTATAAGCAGGGATTGGGGGAAGGTGGGGGGATGGAGGGTGTGTGTGAAAGGTCTCCGTTCCTCCGGGAAGAATAGTACTTACTACTTCACTGCAGCAAGCAGCTTCCACAGCTTCCGTTGTCAAGGCCGGTTGCACCTCCCGCCACAGCCACCTGCAAGATATGTTTTTAGTCGTTGCCTTGGAAACTAGCCGGCAGGCCCTGCACGCCCTGGGGGAAAGAGGCTGCGCAGACTGGAGCCTGGGACTGGGCGGGGCCCAGACTCCAAGCAGCTTTGTCTCTACTGGGGCAAGAGAAGGAACTGGGCTAGGGGTTAGATCTGACTCCTGGGGGTCTGAGGATTGATTTAGCCTGGAAAGGGATCGCAGCTTTGATGAATGCAGAGTGCACAAGGAAGCGGGTCGCAGAACACAGACACACACACAGACACACACACACACACACACAACACACACACACACACACACACACACACATCTCTTGACTTGGATAGGTCTTGCATTTCATAAAATGAGATTTTTGTAAAGCGCTTTGCAAACCTTAAAGCGCTTCATAAATGCTTGTTATTATTTCTATAGAAGTAAATGTTGGGTGCTGAGATCCAGGGAGGAGGTAAAGTTAAAATTTTACTCATTTTCTTTTGGTACCCATACAATGCATTATCATTTACTTTAGCAAGAGAAATGTTTCTCTTCTTTTACTTCCACTTCCCAATGAATAATTAGGCTACAATGTTTATTTAAAGCACTAATTGTCATTTTAAAACTCAAGACTCCTTTGGGAGCCTACTCATCAGTGGCCGAATGACCACGGATCCTCACTGCTTTGCTAAAACTCCTTCAATTACCGAATGAACATAATCCGAAGTGTCCTGGTATTCAAAAGCTTCCAGGATCTGACATCACCTCACCTTTCTAGCCTATCTTACACTATTTCCCACTGCTGACTTTGTCAAGTCATTTAACCCTGTTTGCCTTAGTTTTCTCATCTGTAAAATGAGCTGGAAAAGGAAATGGTAAACCATTCCAATATCTTTGCCAAAAAAACCCCAAATGGGGTCACACAGTGTCAGACATGACTGAAACAACCACAATAGCTGTTAGTAGTTAACAGCATGTGAACAATTCAGCAACCATATTTTTAAAAAAACCCTCTAAATTACTAATAGAGAAGTGGAAAGCAGTCTGGCAGAAACTAGGCATATACCAACATTTCACACTGTCAACTCTGAAAATGACCAAAAAGTCACAGAGGTTATGCAACTGCTGTTAACCTCTCACATAGGTTATCACAGCCACAGTTAACTCTAAGGAATAAAATAAAATAAAACCAAAGAGCTAGACAAAAAGCTTTCTTAATTCCTTTGGAGGAGGGAAATGAGATGCTTGCCAGGGCCTCCTTTAGTAGGAGACTTGCTTTAGTGAGGGTAAATCTCAATACGTATACCAACGGTTATGCCACGAGCTATTGCCCTGACAATGAGGGGTAACAGCTACAATGAGACAAAGTTTGATTCACAGCAGGGCTTCATGCCTGGAACATGGGTCCTACAGGTGCTTGTTCAAGCTCAGAGACCACCAGGTGCTGTTGTGAAATAATTCTGGGATTTTGCTGCAGCAGGGTTCATCCAGAGGGTGAATGCAAAGGATTGTTGTTATGCCAAGCTCAGTGCCCAGCTTGCTTGCGAGGTCTTACCTCTGGAAAACAGGGTGTCTCCTAATAGTAAAAAGAGAGGGGTGGTCTTGATCCTGACAACTATATACCAACATAACCTTAAAGTGTGCATGTGTTAGACATAAAGGATCATACAATAAGCAAATTACTGGTACGTGGAAGCAATTACCAATCAGTTCTGTGGCTAGGGGAAGAGTTCATGACCAAATAAGAGATGGAGAGGGTCACAGGAGGTAAAATGGACAATTGTAATTACATAAAATTTAAAAACTTCTGCACAAACAAAACCAGTGCAGTGAAAATTAGAAGAAAAGAAGGAAACTGGTAGAAAAAATCTTTGCAGTAAGTTTCTCTGAGAAAGATAACATTTCTAAAATGTATAAGCAACTGAGGCAACTTAATATTGAGCTATTCTCCAATTGATAAATGGTCAAAGGATATAAACAGGCAGTTTTCAGAAGAAGAAATCAAAGCTATCAAATCATATGAAAAAATGCTATAAATGCTCTTATTAAAGAAATGCAAATTAAGTCAACTCTGAGGCACCACCTGGAAGCTATCAGATTGGCTAAGATGACAGAAAAGGAAAATGACAAATGTTAGAGAGGATGTGGGAAAATAAATTCAGTAACGCGCTGTTGGTGGAGCTGTGAACTAGTCTAACCATTCTGGAAAGCAATTTGGAACTATACCCAAAAAGCCGTTAAACTGTACATACCCTTTAACCCAGCAGTACTGCTTCTGGGTCCATATCCCAAAGAGACCAAAGAAAGAGGAAAAGGACCCCTATATACCAAAATATTTATAGCAGCTTTTTTCCCTCTTTTTTTGATGGTGGGGGAAAGAATAGGAAACTGAGGGGATGCCTATCAATTGGTGAATGGCTGAACAATTATTGTATATGAATGTGATGGAACACTATTGTGCTGTAAGAAATAATGAGGGGGGGGAAGCTAGGTGGCCCAGTGGCTAGAACACCGGCCCTGGATTCAGGGGGACTTGAGTTCAAATCTGGCCTCAGACACATAACACTTACTAGCTGTGTGACCCTGGGCAAGTCACTTAACCCCATGGTCTAGCTAAAAAAAGAAATAATGAAGGGGATGATTTCAGAAAAACTTGGGAAAACTTTTATGAGCTGATGCAAAGTGAAGTGAGCAGGATGACAATTTACCCAGTAATAGCAATATTTTAAAGATAATCTACCATGAGAGACTTAGTAACTCTGATGAACACAATGACCCACCACAATTCCAAAGGACTAATGTTGAAAAATATTACCCCACTCCAGTATCTTTGCCAAGAAAACCCCAAATGGGGTAAGGAAGGGTCTGACACAGCTGAAGCAACTGAACAGCAATAACGCTTATGAAATCATTCAAAACAGATTTCCTTATCAGCCAAGTTCAAGCCAAGTCTTAAGAGTTCATTCTTCAATGAAAACCCATGGGATGAGGATGAGAACGATCAATAGTAACCACGGCTCTGAAGAGAACCCCAAACTCCGTTCTCCTCCCTAGTAAATGAAATTTCTCTCCTAGACGGGCCGTTCAAAGAAATCCAACCAATCAACAAGCACGACAGAACAGCAGCCAATCAGCGATCACTATGTCCCTCCCACCCTCCCGTTCCCCTTAAGAAAGATGGCGCCTACCCCCTCAGCGTGCGGTCGGTCTCCCAGCCTTTGCCCGGACTGGGGCGGGGCCTGACTGTCCAGGGTGATCCGGAAGTAGCGACTGTCACTACAAGCACCCACGGACCCCGGGCGGGATGCCCACTACGGCCCCTTCTCGGTGTGGTGCGCTGGATTGAAGGGTCGACGTGCCTGCTTTTGTCCTTCTGCCCCGTCCCCCCGCCGGCCCCGCCAACATGCCCACCGCGGCCCCCATCATCAGCTCGGTCCAAAAGCTGGTGCTCTATGAGACCAGAGCTGTGAGTAGTGACCACGGGTTGGCCCACCCGGGGCGTGGGGTGGGGGCGGGGCGGGAGTATCCACGTCAGGCGGGTGGGATGGATCCAGGCCAAAGGACCCGGGTTCGAATCTCCGTCTCTTTGCTGCTTACTCACTTACTTCTGTGACTTTGAGCAAGTGACTCCTTCCCATTCATAGGGACATAGCTTTAGAGCTGGGAGGGATCCCAGAGTCCTTCTTGACCAATCCTCTTATTTTACAGATGAGGAAACTGAGACCCAGAGATGCTAATGACTTGCTCAAGGCTTCCACAGGTAGTAAGTGGCAGAATTAGGATTTGAACTCGGGCCCTCCGACTCCAAAGGCCGCTGTCTTTCTTCCGCCTGTCAAATAAGAGGGTTATGCTCTATGATTTTAGAGACCCTTCTAGATCAAAATCTCCATGACCCCTAAGTTTTCCCTTCCTCTACTTCCTTGATCTCAGTCACAGTTCTGGGGAAGTCAGCCTTCTTCTGTTCTGTGTCGTGTGAAATACATATTCAAAGTGAAAACTTTGACTTAGGACTTTCTTCTGAACTTGAAACTTTATATATTTGGGCTTTAAAATATCATTATGATTGAGGGTCTCAGGCCCTATACAGTAAGAGGAATATTGCATTTGTTAAATCCTGATTGTTTTTTCAAATATTTGTTAAATCAGGAGTATACTGGCAACAAGTGACATACTCTAACAAAAGCTGCTTAGGGCACCCGCAGAGATTGCTCATGTGATCTTTTAAGTGCAATCGTTTATTTATAATTCATGTAATATCTGTAGGAATACACAGAATACAGGTGTGAAATCTGTTTTGAAATCCATGTTCAAAGTGAAAATGTTCCCATTAGGATTTCTGAACTTGAAACTTTATATATTTGGGCTTCATGTTAAAATATTATTATCACTGGTATTTAATTGGACTGTGTTACCAGCAGTAGTTGATTTTTTTCTTTCCTGTTTTGATTGTTTGAAAATATGATTGGTGTTTAGTTGGATTCTGCTAGGAGCAGTAGCTAACTTTTTTCTATTCCCTTTCATTGTTTGTATCTGCTTTGTTTTGTCTTTATGTGATTTCCCAGTAAGCATTTTTTCATGTGAATAAAATAGTTCCATTTTACTTGTAATATTTAAATAGTTTCCTTGCATCTTTTTGGGATAAAATGTGTCCTTTAAATGAATGTGAAAAATTTCACTAGTAGAATATGTTTTGGGGCAGCTAGGTGGCACAGTGGATAGAGCACCGGCCCTGAAGTCAGGAGGACCTGAGTTCAAATCCGGCCTCAGACCAAACACTTGACACTTACTAGCTGTGTGACCCTGGGCAAGTCGCTTAACCCCAAATATATATATATATATATATATACACATATATATATATACATATATATATATATATATACATATATATACATATATATATATATATATTTTTTTTTTTTTTTTGCAGAGGCTTATGGAACCTGGGCAAAACCTTGTGGATTTGTGTTGACTTGGAAATGTTTAAATTTTGTTTAAATCTTTTGAAA